CATTTCAGGGATTATTCCAGGGTCATTCCAGGGTCATTCCAGGACAGTTCCAGGGTCATTCCAGGGCAATTCCTGGGTCATTTCAGGAGAATTCCAGGGTCATTCCTGGGTCATTTCAGGGATTATTCCAGGGCCATTCCTGGGTCATTCCAGAGTCATTCCACCATTATTTGAGGGCAATTCCAGGGCCATTCCAGGGCAGTTCCCGGAGAATTTCAGGATCATTCCAGGACAGTTCCAGGGTCATTCCAGGGCAATTCCAGAGTAATTCTTGGATCATTCCAGGGCAATTTCATGGCCATTCTTAGGCCATTCCAGGCTGCTCCAGGGTCGTTCCTGGTTTATTCCTGGGTCATTCCAGGGCAGTTCCAAGGGCATTTCAGGAGAGTTCCAGGGCATTTCCAGGGTCATTCCTGGGTTATTCCAGGAGAATTCCGTGGTCAATCCAGGACACTTCCAGGGTCATTCAAGGGCAATTCCTGGGTCATTTCAGGAGAATTCCAGGGTCATTCCTGGGTCATTTCAGGGATTATTCCAGGGTCATTCCTGGGTAATTCCAGAGTCGTTCCACGATTATTTGAGGGCAGTTCCAGGGTCATTCCAGGAGAGTTCCAGGGCAATTCCAGGGCAGTTCCAGGGCAGCTCCAGGAGAATTGCAGGGTCATTCCTGGGCAGTTCAAGGGTCATTCCAGGGGCATTCCTGAAGAATCCCAGTTCCCAGGGGCCATTCCCAATTCCCAGCGGCCATTCCCAGTTCCAGCAGCCATTCCCAGTTCCCAGTATCCATTCCCAGTTCTGGGCCTTCCTGGTCCTGTTCCTGATCCTGTTCCTGGTCCCCTTCCTGATCCCATTGCTCATCCCGTTCCTCATCCCATTGCTCATCCCGTACCTGACCCCAGTGCTCATCCCGTTCCTGACCCCAGCGCTCATCCCCTTCCTGACCCCAGTGCTCATCCCCTTCCTCATCCCCTTCCTGATCCCATTGCTCATCCCATTCCTGATCCCATTGCTCATCCCGTACCTGACCCCATTGCTCATCCCCTTCCTGACCCCAGTGCTCATCCCCTTCCTCATCCCCTTCCTCATCCCATTGCTCATCCCCTTCCTCATCCCACTCCTCATCCCGTACCTGACCCCATTGCTCATCCCGTTCCTGACCCCAGTGCTCATCCCGTTCCTGATCCCATTCCTGATCCCATTCCTCATCCCATACCTGACCCCATTTCTCATCCCCTTCCTCATCCCCTTCCTGATCCCATTCCTCATCCCATTCCTGATCCCCTTCCTGATCCCATTCCTCATCCCGTTCCTCATCCCCTTCCTGATCCCATTCTTCGCTGCACAGTCCCCTCTGCTCCCATTCGTGATCCCGTTCTTCCCTGCACAGGCCCCTCTGGCCCATTCCTGATCCCATTCCTCATCCCGTTCCTCATCCTGTTCCTGATCCCGTTCCTCATCCCGTTCCTCATCCTGTTCCTGAACCCATTCCTGATCCCATTCCTGATCCAATTTCTGGTCCCATTCCTGATCCTATTTCTCTTCCCATTTCTGATCCTTTTTCTCTGGCCAAATCCCCTTTTCCCGGGTTAAATCCCCTTTTCCCTGGCCAAATCCCCCTTTCCCTGGCCAAATCCCCCTTTTCCCAGGTTAAATCCCATTTCCCAGGTTAAATCCCCTTCTCCCTGGCCAAATCCCCTTTTCCCTGGCCAAATCCGCTTTTCCCCTGGATAAATCCCCTTTTCCCAGGTTAAATCCCCTTTTCCCAGGTTAAATCCCCTTTTCCCAGGTTAAATCCCCTTTTCCCAGGTTAAATCCCCTTTTCCCAGGTTAAATCCCCTTTCCCAGATTAAATCCCCTTTTCCCAGATTAAATCCCCTTTTCCCTGGCCCAATCCCCTTTCCCAGGTTAAATCCCCTTTCCCAGGTTAAATCCCCTTTTCCCAGGTTAAATCCCCTTTTCCCAGGTTAAATCCCACCAGCTGACCTTCCCCACATCCCCAGAGGCCTTGGCAGCATCTTGTGCACGAGCTCCCAGGGCCTGACAGAGATGCTGAACAGCACTGTGCCCATGTGACAGCACAGTGGGCACTGATTGAAAAACCTCTGGCACAGAATGCCCTCACATCACCTCCGAGCACTGCTGACATCCCTCAGCCTGCTCCAGGCTGGGAAGAATCTGCTGGATCAGTTTGCAGCCATTTGTCATTGGGGGGAACTGGGAGTCACCTTCGGGACGTTTCCCTCCGAGCATTCCTGTGCCCTGCCCTGAATACAAACACAGCCCAGAGCCTCAGCTTGGTTCCCACAACTCTATCAACCAGGTTGTTTTTATCTCTGCCCCTCTCTATATAAAATAAATCAGCAATCTATACTGATTATTGATGGCAGAGCTCTGCATGCGAGTTGTCAGCAGGGAAAATTTGGGATATACCAAGAGTTCCCATCTGCAGCCAGAGCTGCATCTCAGTCCCTCCTTCCCTAACAAGGGGGATCACTCACCACGGGGGGACTGTCCTGACCCCAGTGCTCATCCCCTTCCTCATCCCGTACCTGATCCCAGTGCTCATCCCAGTGCTCATCCCCTTCCTCATCCCCTTCCTCATCCCCTCCCTCATCCCGTTCCTGATCCCATTGCTCATCCCATTCCTCATCCCGTACCTGACCCCATTTCTCATCCCCTTCCTCATCCCCTTCCTGATCCCATTCCTCATCCCGTTCCTGATCCCCTTCCTGATCCCATTGCTCATCCCGTTCCTCATCCCCTTCCTGATCCCATTCTTCGCTGCACAGTCCCCTCTGCTCCCATTCGTGATCCCGTTCTTCCCTGCACAGGCCCCTCTGGCCCATTCCTGATCCCATTCCTCATCCCGTTCCTCATCCTGTTCCTGATCCCGTTCCTCATCCCGTTCCTCATCCTGTTCCTGAACCCATTCCTGATCCCATTCCTGATCCAATTTCTGGTCCCATTCCTGATCCTATTTCTCTTCCCATTTCTGATCCTTTTTCTCTGGCCAAATCCCCTTTTCCCGGGTTAAATCCCCTTTTCCCTGGCCAAATCCCCCTTTCCCTGGCCAAATCCCCCTTTTCCCAGGTTAAATCCCCTTTTCCCAGGTTAAATCCACTTTTCCCAGGTTAAATCCCCCTTTCCCAGGTTAAATCCCCTTTTCCCAGGTTAAATCCCCTTTTCCCAGGTTAAATCCCCTTTTCCCAGGTTAAATCCCCTTTTCCCAGGTTAAATCCCCTCTCCCTGGCCCAATCCCCTCTCCCCGGCCGTTCCCTTCCCAGGAGCCAACGTGAACGCGGCCAAGCTGCACGAGACGGCGCTGCACCACGCGGCCAAGGTGAGGAACGTGGACCTGGTGGAGCTGCTGGTGGAGTTTGGGGGCAACATCTACGCCCGGGACAACCGGGGCAAGAAACCCTCGGACTACACCTGGAGCAGCAGCCCCACGGCCAAGTGCTTCGAGTTCTACGAGAGTGAGTGGGGAACCCTCTTTTTATTGGGATTTTGGTCATTAAATCCCCTTTTTATTGGGAATTCGGCCATCAAATCCCCTTTTTATTGGGAATCTGGCCATCAAATCCCCTTTGTCCTGGGATTTTGGTCATTAAATCCCCTTTTTATTGGGAATCTGGCCATCAAATCCCCTTTGTCCTGGAAATTTGGCCATCAAATCCCTATTCTGATCCCATTTTTCCCATTTGTGATCCCATTTCTGTTCCATTTTGATCCCGTTTTTATCCTGTTCCTGATCCCATTTTGATCCCATGTTGATCCTGTTCCTGTTTTGATGTCATGTTAATCTCGTTTCTGATTTTTATCCCATTCCTGATCCCATTTTTATCCCATTTTGCTCCCATTTTTACCCTGTTCCTGATCCCATTTCTGATCCTGTTTTTATCTTGTTTTCCCCCATTCCTGATCCTGTTTTTACCCCATTCCTGATCCCGTTTTTATCCCGTTTTTATCCCATTTTTATCCCGTTCCTGATCCCATTTTTATCCCATTCCTGATCATGTTTTCCCCCGTTCCTGATCCCATTTTTATCCCGTTTTATCCTGCTTTTATTTTTATCCCGTTTTCCCCCGTCCCTGATCCCATTCCTGATTCCATTTTCCCCGCCCCTGATCCTGTTTTCCTCTGTCTCTGATCCCATTTTCACCCCATTTTCCCCTATTTTCACCCCGTTTTCTCCCATTTTTATCCTGTTTTATCCCGTTTTCCACCATTTTACCCCATTTTCACCCCATTTTCCCCTATTATCACCCCATTTCCCCCCCTTTTTATCCCATTTTCCCCCATTTTTACCCCGTTTTCACCCCATTTTCCCCCGTTTTCCCCTGTTTCTATCCCATTTCACCCCATTTTTATCCTGTTTTCCCCCATTTTTCCCCCATTTTCACCCCGTTTCCCCCCATTTTTACCCAATTTTCCCCCGTTTTTCCCCATTTTCCCCCGTTTTCCCCCATATTTACCCCATTTTCCCCCGTTTCCCCCCATTTTTACCCAATTTTCCCCCGTTTTTCCCCATTTTCCCCCGTTTTCCCCCATATTTACCCCATTTTCCCCCGTTTCCCCCCATTTTTACCCCATTTTCACCGTTTTCCCCCATTTTTTCCCCATTTTCCCCCATTTTTCCCCATTTCCCCCCATTTTCACCCCGTTTCCCCCCATTTTCACCCCGTTTCTATCCCATTTCACCCCATTTTTCCCCCTTTTCCCCCATTTTCCCCCGTTTTTACCCCGTTTTTCCCCCGTTCTCCCCCCGTTCCGCGCAGAGACGCCGCTGAGCCTGCTGCAGCTGTGCCGCGTGAGCGTGCGGCGGGCGGCCGGGCGCCGGGGGCTGCGCCAGCTGCCCAAGCTGCAGCTCCCGCCCCGCCTCATCCAGTACCTGTCCTACGACTGACCCAGCCGGGAGCGCCCGAATCCCGGGAAAAACACGGAATTCCCGGGAAAAACCCCGCAGTTCCCGGGAAAACCCGCAGTTCCCGGGAAACCCCCGCGCGCTCGGAGTTCTCCTTCTCTCCCACCTCCCCCACGACAAAAACCCCGTTTTAATTTAATTTCAGGCGCTGCTGTAAATAGGATTTGTCGGGAATTCCCCTTTCCTGTGAGTTCCCGGGTGGAATTTCCCGGGTGGAATTTTGGCCTCTCCCTGCTTTTCCTGGATTTCCTCTTTGGGATCCAGCCGGGGGGGGAGAAATGGGATAAGTGTGGGGTGGGAACCGTTCCAGCTGGGAATTCCGTGCTCTGGAGCACCTCTGATCCCATTTTGATCCCCTTTTTCCCATTTTTCTCCTGCTTTTCCCATTTTTACCCCATTTTTCCCTGCACAGACCCCTCTGATCCCATTTCTGATCCCAATTTTCCCGTTTTTATCCCGTTTTTCCCTGCAGGGATCATCCATCCCCTTTTGGATGATCCAGCCTGGAATGACCCAGGATCCCTTTCCCTGCTGGGGGCAAATTAATTCCCTTTCACTCATTCATTCCCTAAATTAACGATTCCCTAAATTAGCAATCCCCTAAATCAGCCGGGAGCGCCCGAATCCCGGGAAAAACACGGAATTCCCGGGAAAAACCCCGCAGTTCCCGGGAAAACCCGCAGTTCCCGGGAAAAGCCCGCAGTTCCCGGGAAACCCCCGCGCGCTCGGAGTTCTCCTTCTCTCCCACCTCCCCCCCCACAAAAACCCCGTTTTAATTTAATTTCAGGCGCTGCTGTAAATAGGATTTGTCGGGAATTCCCCTTTCCTGTGAGTTCTCGTGGAATTTCCCGGGTGGAATTTTGGCCTCTCCCTGCTTTTCCTGGATTTCCTCTTTGGGATCCAGCCGGGGGGGGAGAAATGGGATAAGTGTGGGGTGGGAACCGTTCCAGCTGGGAATTCCGTGCTCTGGAGCACCTCTGATCCCATTTTGATCCCCTTTTTCCCATTTTTCTCCTGCTTTTCCCATTTTTACCCCATTTTTCCCTGCACAGACCCCTCTGATCCCATTTCTGATCCCAATTTTCCCGTTTTTATCCCGTTTTTCCCTGCAGGGATCATCCATCCCCTTTTGGATGATCCAGCCTGGAATGACCCAGGATCCCTTTCCCTGCTGGGGGCAAATTAATTCCCCTTCACTCATTCATTCCCTAAATTAACGATTCCCTAAATTAGCAATGCCCTAAATGAATCCCCTAAATGAATTCCCTAAATGAATTCCCTAAATGAATTCCCTAAATTAATCAGCCCAGGGCTAATTAGCGGCACCGCAGCTCGTTCTTTTAGGGAGTTTTCAGGGTTTTCCAGGAGCATCCAGAGGCTCTGGATCAACACCAGGAATGAGGAGAGGCCGGGCCGGGAGTGGCTGTGTCCCAATCCCATTCCCAATCCCAATCCCAGTCCCAATCCCATCCCATCCCATTCCTTTCCCAATCCCATTCCCAATCCCATCCCATTCCCAATCCCATCCCATTCCCAATCCCATTCCCATCCCAATCCCCTTCCCAATCCCAATCCCAGGCCCAATCCCATCCCATCCCATTCCTTTCCCAATCCCATTCCCAATCCCATCCCATTCCTCATCCCAATCCCCTTCCCAATCCCAATCCCAGTCCCAATCCCATTCCCATTCCCATCCCAATCCCATTCCCAATCCCATTCCCATCCCATTCCTTTCCCCATCCCAATCCCCATCCCAATCCCAATCCCATTCCCAATCCCACTCCCATACCATTCCCATTCCCATCCCAATCCCATTCCCGATCCCAGATCTGTTTCCCCCTCCCTGGGGATCCCATGGGATACCGCCATTCCCATCCCAATCCCATTCCCAATCCCAATCCCAATCCCATTCCCATCCCAATCCCATTCCCATCCCAGATCTGTTTCCCCTCCCTGGGGATCCCATGGGATACCACAGCACCGGGTTCTGCCTGGAGGTTTGGGAATTTTGGGATTGATTTTCCCCCTTTGGAGCCCTTTCCCCAGTGCCAGCTCGGGATTCCAGGGATTGGGGTTGGGATTGCAGGCCTGAATCCCGGCTGGAATTCCGGGAATTCCGGGAATTCCTGGGGCTTTGTCCTTGGCTGCTGAGCCGGGATTCCCCTCCCCCTTCCAGCTTTCCCATTTTCCCGATAATCCTGGAAAACCCCCGAGCTTCCCCCACATTCCTCTCCAGAGCTCCGGGATCCGCCGGGATCCGCCGGGAATGCTGAGCTGGGCCTGAATGCACCTCGTGGGCTCAGGTTGCCTTTTTATTTTATTTATTTTATTTTATTTTATTTTATTTTATTTTATTTTATTTTATTTTATTATTTTATTTTATTTATTTTATTTTATTTTATTTTATTTTATTTTATTTTATTTTATTTTATTTTATTTATTCCTCCTTTTACCCTGAAAATCCCAAACCCCGCTGTTCTCATCCCGAGTTTGGGGCTGGGATTCCCGGAACTGGGGAAGCTCAGGGAAGCCCCGGGGGGTTTTTTGTGGGATTCATCCCTGGGAACGGCAGGGAAAAGGTTCTGTGGGGCAATTTAGGGATCCCAAATCCCTTTTCAGGATCCCAAATCCCATTTTAGTGTCACCAAATCCCTTTTTAGGATCCCAAATCCCTTTATAGGATTCCCAAACCCCTTTTTAGTGTTCCCAAATTTCTTTTTGGGATCCCTAAATTCCTTTTCAGGATTCCAAATCCCTTTTTAGCATTCCCAAATCCCTCTTTAGGGTTCCCAAATTCCTTTATAGGATTCCCAAATTCCTTTTTATTATCCCAAATCCCTTTTTAGGATCCCAAATCCCTTTTCGGGTGTTTTTCCCCCACAAGAATGGAATTTCCAAATCCAAGAAGATTCCTTGGAGAACCAGCACGGAGCTCCCCCAGCCCCGTGGGTTCCATCTTCATTCCCTGGTTCTGGAGCCTTTCCGGGGGATCCCAAACTTCTTTTGGGATTTTTATTTCGAATCCATTGGGGGAATTCCTGCTGCTGGGATTCAGGAGAGCTCCAGGCACCACCCTGCAATTCCAGCTTGGAAAACTGGGAATGACGTTTGGGCTGTGGCCGCTCCTGAGCCATCAATTGCTGGGAAAAATCCCATTTACTCCGTTCTTTATCCCATTAATTCCATTCCCCCGTTTATCCCATTCATCCCAATTCCCAGCTGGAATTCTGGGGGATTTTCCCTGGATTTTTGGGAGCACCTGGATCTCCTCTGGATCGAGGTTTGGGATGGAAACCTCGGAGGATCCAAGGATCCCTCCTGGATCACGGGGCCTGGGGGTCTTTCCTGGGGTTTTGGGATTTCTGGGAATGCCAGAAGCAGCTGAATCCCTGGAATGATGGGAACAAACTCCTGGATGGGCCTCGTTGATTTGGGGTCACTTTGGGACAATCCCTTTATTCCCAAATCCAGGCCTGGATCCCAAATCCCACCAGGCCATTCCTGCTTTATCCTCCCCGGGCTTCCCAAATCCCAAACCCAGGGATAATTTTGGGATAATTCCTCTTCCCGGGGGTTTCCTGTGGATCCAGCAGGGCAGGGAGCGATCCCTGGGAACGGGGGTTGGATTTCATCCCTGGGAATCTTTGGGATTTCTCCTGGCTGGAATCTGGGCCGGAGGAGGGGAGCTGGATCCTGGCAGCTTTTCCCAGAAACTGAAGTTTATCCTGGGAAAACAAGGTGGGATCGGAGCCATTCCTTGGGAGGCTGGAAAGTTCCACCCCTGGATGAGGGAAATCCCTGCGGGGTTTGTGCTGAGCTTCCCAAATCCCTGGGAAATCTGGGAAAGGGACAGCTCCCCCCAAGCCAGGGCTGGGATTCCTGGTTCCACCTTCGGGGCTCTTGGAGTGAGGGGAGAAATTCCCAGGAGTTTTCCTGAGCTTTTTTTCCTCTGGAATGGGGCAGGAGCAAAGCTGGAATTCTGTCCCGCCGCTGGGTTTGGGAATAAATCCACCCAAACCCCCAAAATCTGGAGATTTCCCTGAGTTTTTCCACGCCCTCTTCCCCCCTCCCTCCTTTTCCCGGGAAAATCCAGGCTGATCCTGCAGGTCTGTGGGTGCCCATCCCAAATTTTCGGGTGGGTCTGGAGAAATCCCCTGGAGCTCCAGCTCCTGGTTTTCATCCCAAAATTGACATTTTTCCAACTGCAGCCCTCAAACCCACAGCAAAGCCTGGGAGGGATCAATCCCACGGATTTCTTGGGATTTCTGGAAAACTGGATGGACCCTTGGGCTGTTCCCACCTCTCCTGCACGTCACAAAATCCTTGGATCCTAAAAAAAACCCCAAACTGCCTCACTCTGAGATGGATCCTGAGCTTTTGGTGATGCCCTAAATCCGAGATCCCGGATTTTCCCTGGATTCAGGCACTCGGGAAATGCTGGGAAGGGGAGGAACTCTTCAGAGCTGGGAATTCGGGCACCTGGAACTGATTCCTGATTAAAATTCCCTCTGGAAAAGCCTCACCTGTGTCTGGCTGTTGTGGGATCTGCCCTGGAATTCTCTTCCTCCAGCAGCCTCATCCCAAATGCAGTGCCCAGGGAAGGGTTGGAGCTCCCTGGGATGGGGAATTGTCCCTGCCCTTGGAACGGGGCTGGAATTGGGTGATCCTGAGGGTCCCTTCCCACCCAAACCATTCCATGATTCCATAAAAAAACCCCACAATGTTCCTCCCCTTCCCAAAACCTTTCATTCCTCGTTTCCCAGGGAAAACCTGGCAAGAAAATCTGGGACTGGAGAATCTTCCCAGAGAACTCCTGAGCTCTGGAAGGAACCAGAGGCTGGAAACATCCCAAAGGAACGGGAGGGAAACTCGGGAAAAACGGGATAATCCCGTTTGAGGGGATTTTTTAATTGGAGGAGCCGATTCTGCTGGGATTCAGGAGAGCTCCAGGCACCACCCTGCAATTCCAGCTTGGAAAACTGGGAATGACGTT